TTCGGTGATGAACCTTCGGGTTCCGTAAGCCATCTGGTTGGTTGGGTCCACTATTTGGGAAGCCTGAGGGGAAGAGACCCCTGGGAAGACCTAGACGTAGATGGGAGGATAATCTCAGGCGGGATCTATGGGAGATAGGAGTCGAAGGAGACTGGATTTTGTTGGCCCAGGACAGAGCTTTGGTTAATTCGGTGATGAACCCCAGGGTTCCGTAAGCCATCTAGTTAGTTAAACAGAAAAACTAAACACAGGGCCGAATTAAAATAGTTGACTAACAACCGAAATAATGTTCTCACTTGAAAGAATGGAGGAAAGTGGGAGATACCATCAGAGAGCAGAGTTCACAGGAAACAAAGGCCAATGACTTACGTTTATAGGCTACAGCCCCTGAAATCGAAAGAGGCTAGAAAAAGGCTAATCTACGATGATGACAAAATAAGGCAAGAGACGCTTCGAAATTCAGCGTTCAGTGTGAACGAACTGGCAAGAGTTCGGCTCCGTCCGTGATCTATCGAGGGACGCCTCGCATCCGAAGTGAGAATTCCAGCGAACGTGACGTAACTTTCCCGATCAGAACATCGACGGCTGTGAAGCGTTCGATATCTGTCTGGAACATGACCTACATCTCGATAAGTGTTCGGGAGGTAGTACTTAGCGCATGCGTATATAGCTCTTCAGGTCATACATTATTTAACGACGTTGTATCAATAAAAATGTGAATAAAATGTAATTTCAGTATGATCCATGATTCCACTCATTTCATTCTTATTTTTGTTTGTGTAGTTAATTTAATTAATTTATTTGCGTATAAGTAACACGTAATTTAAAAATGTTTAAAAATTTAAATATCTGGGAACAAAAATAACAAATAGAAATGAGGTCTATATTGAAATTAACAGTAGAATATTTTCGGAAACTCTTTTTTTTTATTCAAAAACTGTTATCATCTCGTTTGCTGGCCAAAACACCGAAGATAAAGATATATAAAACAATAATTTTGCCTGTTGTCTTGTATGGTTGTGAAACATGGTCTCTTACCTTGAAGGAATAACGTTGAACACAAGAGTTTGAAAACAGAGTTCTCAGGAGGATATTTGGACCTAGAAGGGATGATATAAGTTGGGAATTTAGAATTCTGTATAACGAGGAGCTACCTGAATTGTACAGGTCACCTAACATAGTGAGATGTAGGAGGCTCTGATGGGCTGGACATGTAGCACGCATGAGGGACTTCACTGTTTACCCAGTGGCGACCACATACAAGACTACACTGTGTCAGAACCCGGAAGACGAAAGTCTACCCGCCTTTGGAACCGCAAATATCGTAAAATAATTAAGAAAATCTTTGTTTATTATTATCATGGTGATAGTTTAGGTTCTCACAGTGGATTATACGAAGAGGGCTAGGATATTGCGCCTTGTAGTCAGGTAAAAGTTTATCGGTGTTTTATCGCCCTGAAGATGGAGGCAGTAATCACTTACGAAACATATGTTAGCTTCTACCAGGCTAAACGACGAACATCTCAGAAGACAGTTATCTTCAGTTTTCAGGTTTTTCTTCAGTACGTGATATTCAATCTAACAAGAATTTTCCTGCTTTTATAGAAATTCAAACTTCATTACCACTTCACAAAATCCCGACATTACAATCTTGGGTCACTCCAGTAAGGTTTACGTAATAATATTTTTAATATCTTTACATCTGCGCATAGGTCCCCCATGTATTTTCTTCGTTTTAGGCATTCAATCCAAAATCATTTTCTACAGCTATTTTCCATGCGTGCTATATATCCTGTCAATCGGATCCTTATTGATTAAATTCTCCCTAACTGGGTGTTGTGTAACTCCAGTTTATGTAGTAGGAGGGCAGATTTACTTCCAGCCCTCTGAAGCCGAAGATCTTATAAATAACATATAAGAACTCAGTCCGTACCGCAAAGAAAACACAACACTTCACCTTTACAAATGTCAACTGATTAATGCCATAATATCTATTTACACTGAGAATATTATGAAACACACATATAAAACGCGCAGTTACTGTTAAACGAGGTGGTACGTATAGTTACCACTGGTCCTTAAAGATCTAAGTTACCTTTAGGCAAACTTTAACATAAATAGTATATTAAACGATTCGGGCAGAGAGAGAGACTGGCGGTGGAATTATCGTTCCTCGAAGAGCGCTAATATAATTGTGACCTATCATCAGTCATTTGTTACGTGTATATTAATTAATCACGACAGATTACTGGAGCTGTCAAAAGGCATCCACGGGGGAAGTCATGGTAACGCAACTTTACGGTAGGTCCATATGATACAGGGAGTATCGATTAACGCAGCGCTGATGAGTCCGTAAGGTGTGAGAAACAAATGCCGGCAGGGGCCTCGTAACCTCGCAGTCGAAATTTGATTTCCAATGCGGCTGTCACTGTAATAACATTTCAGAGGGCGACACCCAGTCAAGACGTCATGTGACAGGAAGTGTCTGTGCCACAGATACAAGGACACTTCACTGAATTGTAACATTTGAGGTTCTCACAGCGGTGAGTCCAAAGTTGGCTGTCTTCTGGGTTGTAGCGCCCTATAGTCTGTTAAAAGTTTGCCAATGTTTCGTTTCAGAGGTCCTTTCTTCCTCCGTCATCAGGACGACTGATCGCCATAATGATGGAGGTAGCAAGGATCCCCGAAACATCGGCAAACTTCTACCAGACTACACGGCGCTACGACCTAGATGACAGTCATTTCACGAATGGGTCTTATTTCCAAAGTTTTTCTCTTGGAACTCCCAATTTTCCAAACTCAAAAACCTGCTTTTATTTAATAGTTTCGTGAGTGAGTAAGTGATCCACACTCATTAATCTATCAATTAAGTGTGACTCCCTTCACGATTTATTATCATATCGCGTACTTTTAAGAAGTGAAAACATATACAGGATGTTTCAAAATCTACATACATAGGGAATAATGGATAAGCAGTTTCCGAGTTCCTGGATTGGTCGCCGTGGTCCCGTGGATTGGCCCCCGAGGTCCCCAGACCTCAGACCTCAGCCCACGTGATTTTTAACTTGTGGGGGCACACGAAAGCCATGGTGTACCAGGAAAAGATACGAAACATGAATCACCTAAATGAACGCATTCGAAATGCAATTTCGCGTATAACACCAGACGTGTTAACGCGAGTTCCGGATGTTTTCTTTTCCCAAAGGAATGGTAACCATGTAGAACATGTTTTGTGAATAAAGTGACAGTTTGTTAAAAAATTGGTAATTTTCCCTATGTATGGAGACTTTTGAATCACCCTGTAGTTACCATATTATAATGATAAATGAAATGTGCCAAGCAGACGGCACTCGTGACTTACCAGTCCTGAAGTTGACGACGATGTCGATTAGGAAGATGGTGTCGGAGAGACAATTGAAGGCAATCCAGCGTGTACTGAGGTCATCGTTGAAGAAAGATATGGCGACGGGGAGAATGATAAGATTCGCGACCAGCAGCAGTAACATGCACAGATCCCAATAGAACCTGCAACAAAAGACACGTAAATATATATAGTACAGAGTGTGGTACAATTTGCTGTTCCTGTAAAACAAACGCATTAACTAAGGCACCCTCGAGTCTCATCGAATCACTAAGACGTATACATTACGCCACACGCTTATGGCAAAGGCAAGGCAACGCAGTTAGATTTCAAACCGAAAGAAACTTATATCAGGGACATTTGCTCTGCGGCGGTTGGTACCCCTGCAGTAGTTAATTGGCAAACATGCAGGTGCTGGCATAGGCTATATATATCCGATAACCTCTCTCTGGATGAAACAAATAAATTCTCGGTAACCACAGAAGTGAGGTTAAAACTGCACACAGACGTTAGTTTCAGGGAATCCCACAAGAGGGCAGAATACCATAGATCGGATAGAATTATTGTTCGAAAATCTGATTAGAAAACATATTCAGAGACCTCGGCGTAGGTGGTAAGATAACATTAAAATGTATTTTAAATAAACAGAATTTTGCTAGACTCATCGGCCTCGGGACAGGGTCCAATGGCGAGCTTTTGTGAATACGGTAATGAATTATCTTGTCACATAAAAGGGTGGAATTTCTTTTACAGTCAAGCAACTATCATAATCTAAAAAAAGGCCTCTCTGCTAATTGAAGATTAGTTACATGTATGAGGGCATTGCACTGTGAGTAACGCGGAGCGATCCACGAGTAGAACGGACAATCACTGGAGAATCCAGATAGCGTATTAAAAGTAACATACAAAAGAAATGATTATGTTGGTATGGTCACATCCAGATGTAAGGTTTCCTGCGAAGAATAAAGAAAAAGAAGACTTAGAAGTTGGCATGCCTGAGCGGAACTAGCAATAAAGACTACGCTGTGTTCCGGATGTGTGCGTAGCTGAACAAGGACAGACAAATGACACGCGTAGTTCGTAGTCAGAAGACGAAGCTTTAATATGAGCCCTTATGACATCAAAGAGATTAAGCACACGGCTCTAGGTTATGTACGTGGCCCTTCACGAACACTAAGCCAATATGATACCCTTCCCTGGCCAATGTCTGCTGGTATCTGGTCCACACACAGCCTCAACAGAGCACAGACAGTAACCAAAGAGCAATCATGTCCTTCAATACAAAAATTGGATCACAAGTAGGTCCATAACCGTGTAAGAGTTTTCCAACCTCCCCGTGACATTTGAGTTAAGGTCACCCTGGTATTAAAACCTCCGACTCAGACTCCGACTCCTTCATAAAAGCTCAATATGTATTAATAATGGCAAATGGTACTATAAGAGATTTCATCACCACCACGTGAATCATCAGCCTACTTTTTAGACTTATAACCTATATTTAAACATACGTCTAATGGTTATTGCAGAAATCGGTTGATTTGTAGACAGTTTGTATTTTTAAGGTATCCCAGCCAAAGTTACAAAGCATTTTTTCCCCACACCACGTGGCTCAACGCGTCATTGAATCTCCCTAAGCGTTAGGCCGCCTGCGGCACACGCGGTATAGAAATTGTTCTTAAGATTTTATATCGAGGTCGGATTCGGTATATTTTTACCGGCTCCACCTAAAATTGCTTGTAACTGTATCTGCAGTAAATTAGAATCAAGGCTAATGAGACATTAAAAATTGCAAATAACTCATTTAAATAAGACGTAGCCTATAGGACAAAAGAATGTTAAGATAGAGTTAAGAAGGTTGCTGTTACGTAACTTGTTTATTTTGCTTGTTAATGACTATTTTATAACTTCCACGTGTTTTAAAGTATTGTCAGCAAAGTTTACATCAGATTATAAAAAGCACGACGTTTTTCGGTATGCTGGTAGACTAGCACGTGACCTCCGTAGCCACAAACGTCCGGAGTAGAAGAATTTATCCTGTCAGAATCCGTAGACGTGAGTGTATACACTCCTGATGCAGGAGAACATCTCGTGACGGACGTTAAGTAATGGCACGTCCGAATGGGGCAGCAAAACACTTTTATCTACATCCAAAAACTGCCACAACGCATGCCCTCCTGGGCAAACCTCCAGAGCTGGGTGGGTTAGAGAATATTTCTATTACACTATGTATTTGTCGAATTTTGATATCACTGTCACTTTCAACACGCGCCTTTTTCCCCAGTTTGTCAAGAGTTTGCTTATTACCGAACTATATGTTTCGACAAGATGTGTTCATCATCAGGTCCACGTATTTTACAGTAGGTAATTACCCTTCTCAATGCAAACGGCGGTTGGATTCAGTGAATTTGTCCAGATAAATTATTGGATAAAATTTACGTAACCCTAAAGTTTAAATCTTCAAAATCACTTAAATGTTCCTCATACCACGATGAGTTCAGTTGTTACTTAAATTACATGTGCTTCAGTCATAATTAAACAACGCTAAGCGGGAATTTGTGAGTTCTGTGTGCTTCAAATTATTCCTGTCTTATAATCTTAGTTCAGTGACACGCTGGCAGGCAAGCTAACACTCTTGAATTATTCTGGAGGTGCCAGGTTCGAATCTCCGACGGGATACCTTCAATCCTGAATATTTATTTAGGGATTTTTTTTTTTCGTGTATCCAGAAAATACCTGTATAATATATCGAAACAAGTCGCCATCGCTTCTTTCCCAATCCATACCAAATCATCACGATCATCTACTTATGTCATTCGTCGCTGTACAATGTATGTATTAATAAATTGTTCAGAGAAACAGTGTTAAAACTGTACTTCAAAGCTTCGTATTTGTTCAAAGTCCATGTTATCATTAATCCTAACCTATTTAAAACTCAGTATCTGTTCACTGTTCCTCGTTAGCAGAGTTCTCTTGATACAAATAACTCACAATTCAACTGATCAGAGCTAAAGTGGTATAACCCATTTCTGCAGCTGTTGATATAATCCACTGAGAGGTGAAGTGTTCGATGTTATAATACTCCATTTTAGCTCTCTGAAGCTAAATTACTATTATTGATGTTCAGCCTATAGTAATTTCTAGCAAATTTCTAATGTTTTATGAGCAGTGACAGACTTATGGTATCTTCATATTTATATCTTGAACCAACATACGTATTTTCACTAAACTTGGTATGAACAACACGCCATTAGAAAAATATACGACATTGTGTTTTCTAATTTCATAACAATGTTTATACAAATATGGCGGCCGTGTCAATTTTTGGTGTAATAAAAGAGTTATAACATTTTTTGGTCTAAAAAGCGTTTAAAAATATCTAGCTTCAGTGTTAATAATATTTTTAGATGCTCACGAGACCTGTCAAATATTGTAAACTAAAACCAACTGACTGATAAATGTCACTGTCAGTTTTAATACAATTTATTTCTGCGCATTAAAAAACGACTGGTGACCACAAAAAAATTCGAAAATCGCTCTCGGTTTTATGGAATATGAACTTTTGTATGGTTATGGACCATAAAGAAATCCACACATTGTAAATGGACTTTTTATATGAAAAAAAAGTCACAAACATGGCAACGAAACTCGACGGTATAAAGTTCTGCTGTAAATATCTTGCAAAATTGAAAGAGCCAGAATATTTGGAAGTACAGTAATGTACCAGCAAACTGCAATTTAATAAATATTTAAGGGAAACACACGTTAAAATTTATCCCACGAAATTAGTTTTTCATTGGTCATTTCCGTCAAAGAGGACCAACACTTTGTTTTCAACCAATTAATATCAATACCAAACAAAACATTCAGACTTTCAAATGCGTTCTTCGTTATTACGCATACGTTATTGTAATTTTCTCAGGTGGCCAATGTACGAGACGTGAGCTCTTAAGGACTCGTGATTGCGAACTTGTACGAAGCCTTAAGAATCAATAAGGCAGAAATTTTTCAAAATATGGTTAACATACAGAGCTTGGGCCGAAACGTCTTTTTCGCCCACGTCACCAGCTTGCGGATAAAATAATAACAAATAAGTATACTATGTAAATCAAAAACATTGATATTTAATGGACATCTGACGAAGGATTGCACTTAGGATATTACATTTGAGTT